GATTCTTATACGTCAGTGGTGTTACATACCATCCCAGCCAAATGTTTTCAACATGAAGATTCGCACATAGAACCTTAGAAGCACCGCAGTGGTTGACAATGCGAATAGCGGGCCTTCTACGGCCATCAAATGGGCAGCTTGATTCTCTGCCATGTACTCTGGTGATCGCGCTGGCGTTGGGGGAGGTTCCCATCCCTGTCTCGAAATGAGATGATGGTAGGCCATGTTGAACATGTCGCCTCAAAAGGAAACAAAAGGAAAGAAAAGACCAGATCTAGCAGAAGACAAAAATGTAGGTTTTCATGGCTCTGATCAAAGATGCCCCATGACCGTGTGTCAGAAAGTGGCACGCAGACACGCGCTGAGTGTAAAGACTGTGCACTACAGTAAAGGGCCACATCTGGATCAGCATTGGTCCGGGACAAAACATGCTTTTCCGCATATGCACGCTACATTGTTTTAATGTCGAAGCTACGGCTCGGCTGTGTTGCATAACAGGGGAACGATCGGAGTGGCGGGCTGTCTGCCCAATCATGTTGGTGATGCCAACAGGATTGCAAAGCTTGATCCCGAATCCACTGGCCTGCCGCTATGTTGCTACAATCTGAGGATCAAGATGTGCTCCATTTATTTCTTGTCTTTATGCTTTGGAAGCACGCAAAGACGCGGTGGTGCGAGTATGTGTACAGACTGCTGGCTGAAACACTGTCAGAACTCGAGTGTACATTACAATGTATTCTAGACACTCATTAAGTGTCTCACGGATATTGTCATCGTTGCGAACTTGGCACGTGTTGCTTTTGGATAATCAGGACCAATATTGACGGCCAGAAGTGGAAGAACATGTCTTCATCCGGAGGAAGAAGCGACACAGGATCTATCACTCTGTACCTGAACACTTTCTGACAGGAAAATGGTAATGCCCATATTGAGAAAACCATGGGATTTCACAGCTGTTTCCCATTCCACCGGATATTGCTGCGCTGCCTCGGAAGTTGGATGTTGGGACTGCAGGATTCATCATAAGAATGTGGTAGATTCTGCGAACGGTCCCGGGGGAACTGCCCAGTCGAGGGCAAGTCTCGATACTAGTATGTTAGTGAGGAAAGTGTCTCCATATATCAACTACCAATCCTGTAGCAGATGGCTATAAGGTACGCATTGTCGGCGGACCGGACCTCGTCATACCCACCTCGTACGACTTGGATTTTGCTAACATGGTGGGTAGTGGCGTGGACACGGCTGCAACACGTGTCTGAGCAAGTCTACACGCAGACTAGTGGGCTGAGCAATCTCCGGGCGATGCAGGCTGTCGGTTGTGAGATGAACGGATGGGATGTGGTCGTGGAACGATAGGACGCTAACTACCCAGGCGAGCGGGGGCCGGTTCCGCGGACAACAACGGCGCTTGAAATTATCCGCGAAGTGGCAATTGGTCATAGGAAAGTAGCATGCTTATGCAGGCCGCCACACCCTATTCCCCCCTCCCGTTCATCGTTCCAGCTCCTTGCTGCTGACGGGGCCTTTGCCAAGTATCTCTGATCGTATGTAAGTATTGTAGCCAAGTATGCATATGATCAGAGGTGACTGACGTGCCAAACTCCCCGATAGGTATTAGTGTATGAGATCCGCGCCGATCGGACTATATACTACGAATTGCAGTACCTAGGCACAATCCTCAGGTACCATATCTCAATTTCTTCCCGTTGGACCCGCCCCTAAGCTCCGCAGGATGACACCGGTTAAAGAGATGAAGAGAAAATACATTCTTGCATGAGCGTTGTGGAACCACGGTCGCCACACGGCTCGGGGCTTGTTCAGTGCAGCGGCGTAGACATCCCATGTTTTTCTGACCTATCCACTACCTTGTCGTTCGATAGACCCGTAACCGAGGCTTCCAGAATTCGTTAACACATCTCACCTGCATTCACAGCCCCAATGCCTTTTTTTCTATCCTTCAAACGGGGCCGAGACTTATGCAAACCCACGTGTTGTGGAGTTTAGAGACGCCCCTTTGGATCCTGCGAGGCGAGCTCGGAACGTAGAATCCATTTTGGTGATAGTCACAAGGTAGAAGGAGCACCAAAAAGTTTTCCATCCCATTTGGACCATTTGAGGATTACGGGCGAATAAAACTTCGGTTTACGATGTGTTCTCACTGACTCGAAGCCTGCTCGGAATTAATGAACCGAGATTTGGGGTCCGAGAACAACTGAGTATTAGTGCTGTTTGTAGTCAGATTGCTTGATTGGACTAGATGAAGAAAGATGTTGGTATGCACGCTGAAAGTATTTGAAGGCTCGTGCAGCCTTGCATCTCTAGGCAGTGCTTTTGTCGTCAGTCGCTTTCGCCTCTCTCGCATCTTAATATAATTCAGTAATAGCCAGCTCGGACTAGCATCGTGCCCAAAGTCATATTCAGAGCAGTCGGCGGTTTCAGTCGTTCACTCGTCTTGATCCTCCAAGGCCTCCTGATTACTTCAATACCCAGCTTTACCCGGTTCAAAACACGATCATGCGTACGACCGCATTCCTTTGGCTTGCACCCGCAGCGTTAGTTAGCGCCATTCCTGCGCTCGAGGAAACTTCTCCAGCTGCATCATTCGACAAAAGGCAGAATGTTTCTCCGAACATTTTGGGAGGAAAGGTCCTTCAGGCAGATGTGTACGCTGGAATTGCTGCCATCAACCAACAGATCTTCCAAGCCACACAGCAAAACGATCAATTCAAGAAATGCAACCCCCTGAACATTGTTGTTCGCAAGGAATGGTATTTATCCTAGCAAAGTGATAGAATACATGTACTGACACAAATAGGGCTACCTTTACCAAGCCGGAGAAGACCAATTACATTCAGGCAGTCCAATGCATGTCCAAGCTACCCCCGAAGACGCCCAAGGCCGAATGTCCGGGCTGCCGGAACCGATACGACGACTTCGTAGCTGCGCATATTAAGCAGACATTCTCAATCCACAATACTGGAAACTTTCTTCCGTGGCACCGCTACTTCACGTGGGCATATGAGCAGACACTGCGAAAGGAATGTGGCTACAAAGGCTACCAACCGTACTACAACTGGCCACGATGGGCTGACGACCCCATCAAAAGCCCTGCTTTCGACGGATCTGCCACGTCCCTGAGCGGCAATGGTGTGCTCGGATGCACCAATCAAACCTTTTATGGGATTCCGACGAATGAAGAGCCGAAGATTAAGATACCTAAAGGCAGTGGTGGAGGCTGCGTAGCCTCTGGTCCTTTCAAAGACTGGACCGTCAACCTTGGGCCCGTCTTCACGGACTCGCTCTGTGTACCTCCCAATCCGATCTCCAACTTCACGGATCCCAACATGGGGCTTGGATATAACCCCCGTTGTCTCAAGCGAGACATTTCATCGTGGACGTCCAGGCAGTGGACCAATGACGAGATGGTAGTGAAGCTTCTCAATAGCCCAGACATGAAGACTTTCTGGTTTGACATGCAAGGCGGTGATCCCGCTTTTGATAATAACTTCATGGGCGTTCACACTGCGGGGCACTTCCACTTGGGTGGTGATCCTGGATCTGACTTCTTTACTTCTCCCGGTACGTCTTTATATTGCATATCTTGGTGTTTCCACCTGCTAACGTAGAAAAAGGCGACCCATGGTTCTTCTTCCACCACGGACAGATTGATCGTGTGTGGTGGACGTGGCAAAACATTAACCCGGCCGAGCGTACCAACGCCATCTATGGAACTACCGTTATTTCTGACCCCACTGCGCCTGCAACTAAGCTCACCGACAAAATGACGCTGGGCTATGCCTATTCCGGGGATATTACAATTGCCGATGCGATGAGTACGATGGGAGGACCTTTCTGCTACACGTATATCTAGACGTGCGTGTTAGAGGCATCTTTGCTATTCGTGTGAATAATTTCTAGTACATAGTGCATTTCAATTGGAGCGCTAGAGGAAACAAAATAAACTATGGCATTTGTAACCTACACGGTGTGACTGGTGACGCCGGGTCTGAACAGGCATATACCCAGTAGTTTTATACGAAGCGGCTCTTGACAGCACAACCACGGTAAATTTGCTTCACCACCATGCCCACAGAAAAGGAGAAGAGCGACAATTATACATCGAGGCTAACATTAGTCCTGGTAGTGGGGCATCTGCAGATGCTTGAGATGATGTACCAGTACAGTGGACTGGCACGTCTTGGCTTTATTGCGGAGGCGTTGACACTGGACTCCACCTGCTCTACTAGTACAGTATACACATGTATCAGAGTATCCCAAAAGATGAAGCTCGGACAAAGGTACCTGGAGCAGAGCAATCAACGATTCGACAATGGCACGCAGCGCTAAGCAGTCACTATACCTGTGTAGCATTCGGCTCTTGACGAAGAATGAATGGGCGGGGGTTTCCCCCATCCAAAGGGCGCGGAGACCCTGCATTGCCAACGCATCACCGCTGAAGAAAAGGGACCCCCCAAAGAGCAATCATGTGCACCAATCCTTCTCTGATCACGCCCGTTCCCAAGAAGCATCTGTGAGATTGCAGCCAACCCCCTCTACAACGCCGGCGCCCGAACTACCCAGATTCATTGGACAGCCTGCGATCGTGCTCTGTTGCTGTTTGCGGGTTATTATTAGTTGGACTGGCGATTCCGAGCAAAAAAAAAGCTTACTTACCTGGTTAATTTTACCCCACTAACATCCTACATTTGTCCCCGCCGCCGCCGCCGCGCGCGACAATCGGGTTTCCAGGGTCCCTTTTTTTAGACCAGGGGGTTTGGTTTCGCGCTGGGAAAGAAAGAACTACAAGGCGAGTTGGGCATCATCGACATAGTCGGCACAACCATTTTGTTTTCTACCCATCACAAAAGACCTCATAAGAAAGACACACACACACACACACACACACACACACAAGAGAGAGAGACAAAAGAGAGACAAGAGCGTTCAACTTAATAAGAAAGCAAAAGTCTCCAAAGAAAAGAGACAGACCATTACCCCCNCCGCATATCACTCCCCTCTCCCCCCCCTTCTCGCAGCCATGAATGTCGACCCTCTGACGGGCGCACCGCTGCCCTCCACCGCAATCCAGCGCATCCTCTACCTCGCGCCCAAAGTGCACATATACCAGATCCCACCGGCGACGTCGACAAAGGGGTACCAAGCCTCTACGTGGACGGCCAACAACAACCAGCTACAAATCTTCACGGCGCGATTACGCATCGTCGAGACGTCGATACCCAGCGCATCGTCGGACGACGCAAGCGGGACCGATGGCGGCGACGACAACGAAAAAGTAACGACGACAATCCTGCTCGAAGACCCCAAGAACGGGGATCTTTTTGCCGCAGCCCCGTACACGAGCGAGCGCACCGTCGAGCAAGCACTGGACAGCAGTCGTTTCTTCGCCATCACCGTCGTCGGCGAGGGCCGCAAAGCCGTGCTGGGCATGGGCTTCGAGGAGCGCAGCGAAGCCTTTGACTTCTCAATCGCCCTGCAAGACGCCCGGCGCGTGCTGGGCTTCGAATCCAAATCCGCCTCCGCACTCTCCTCGCGGTCGTCGTCCAAAACCAGCGCTCCCGTGGCGGAAGAGGCAAAGCGCGATTTCAGCCTCAAGGCGGGCGAGACAATATCGATTAACCTGGGCGGACTCAAGGGCCGGCGGTCGAGGAGCCATGAGAGCGATAAGAGCGACGAGGGCAAGAAGAGCGATCAGGATGCCCTGTTTAGTATAAAACCGCCTCCTGGGAGCGGGCCTGGAGGCGCGTTTTTGCCGCCGCCGCCGAGCGCGAAGAGTGTCAAGGAGGAGAGGAGGAGGAGTAGACAGACGTTTGATGCGGCGAGTTTGCCGCCGAAACAGACGGCGGAGGATTTGGGGTTTGATGATGGCGAGTTTGGAGAGTTTCAATGAAAGAAAGCATGTGTATGTGGAAGTATCAATGGAGGTATGACCTTTTTCCTTTTTTATTTGTACATTTAGCAAGGCGTTTTTTTCTTCTTATATTGTTGCATCTGTCTCACGTGTACCCTCGCATGGCAGGCGCGTTGAGGGAATTCAAACATCAAGAGTCAAGAATGGTTGCTGCATGTGTATGTGTCCATGTGGTTGGATGTGTGTACGTGAGAGTACGTGATAGGGGAGGGAGGGGTATCAGGTAAGTTTCCGGCTCCAAATAAACGCCTCGAAAGAAAGACACAATCAAGAAAGAAGGCTAGAGTGACGAGATTCCCCTCTCAACTCTCAAGACTCGGTCCAGCCCTGCGCCTCTTTATAAAGCTTCTCGATATCCCGAATCAAATCCTCAGGCTTATCACCATCGGGGCAGTCTTTAAACCTACCCCCGTCAGCCACGCACCTCACCTTGTCGTCTAGCCTGACGGTGCAGCTCGTCGTCACGCCCACATCACGGCTATGCTGTGCGCTGTCCCTCAGCAAGCCCATGCCATACGCGCCGTTTTCCCTGCTCATGCACTCGTTCAGCACTTCAAAGTCGAGACCGTGTTCCAAGGCACAGTCTTCAATGAGCGAGCGGGCGGGTATCTCGGGGTAGTCGGTGATGAGGCAGTTTGTGAAGCCTAGGTAGAGCTTGGGGTCGGGGTACTCGGATGCGGCACAGAGCATCACGATGTCGCCCAGGCACTCGGTTTGGCCGTGCATGCATAACACACCGTCGTCTTCGGTCAGGCTGTTTGGGCTTTGTTAGCAACTGTCGTGTATGTGTGTGTGTGTGTGTGTGTGTGTGTGTGTGTTTGTTGGTGCATTGCGGTGGCGGGCAAACTTACGTGCCAATCATGCTGAGACGGAAGTCGACTTTGTCAGATACGTTTGCCATGGCAGGCAGCACCAGTTTGTTTAAGCAGTCGCGCGCGTCGGGGCACTTGGACATGATGTGCACGTCCAGGGGCACTTTTGAATCGGCGTCCAGGCCGTGGTGGTGGTCATTGCCGCAGGACCATGTTGATGCAAGCCAGAACAAGCTGAGGACGAGCATGGTGACGGCCATGTGCAGGCGGCTCTTGCTGCTGGAGCTACGCGGAGTCATGGGCTCGCCAGCCTCTGGGGCGTTGGGGACGAGGGGCGTTTTCTCTTCCATTGTATATACAGGGCGCAGGCGTCGATGTTGGGTAGAGAGTATTTGGAGATGGGGTCCAGACAATCTAGATGGCGTGCTGAACCGGACTAGCGGGGCCAAGGGCAGGGAGGGCGAGGGCGCAGCTTATGTGATGAGCGTGATTGACAGGCACATACATGTATATCCACATGTACACGGATGTATGGATGGATGGATGGATGGATGCAGCCGAATGAGGAATCATGGAGTGATTGGCGCTCGGAGCCTCCCATAGCGTGGTCAACTAGCCGGCGTGTGTCCTGGCAACGTCAAGTCAAGCACATTGGCTGCGTAGAGCAAAGTCACATATGGACGGATTGATACGACAGACAATCGGCGGTTCATGCAAATGGGTCAATGGTATGTACTTCCCACCGTGGATTGTCCAAACAGGCCTTGGACTGGGTGCATGCAGATGGGATGCCATTGTCACATGCCACTGTGCGGGAGGCACGACGGTACAACAATTACCCGCAAGCATGTGTGTGTGGCGTTGTTTGTTTCTGTGAGGCCTGGCATGACTGGACTGGATGGCCCCGACGGCCGGAGGGGCTACACGCATCCTGCATCGCAAACATCACCCACCGCGCCTATTCCTGGGCACGCAATCAATCCCGCCTGGCCGCCGCTCTTTTTTGCTTCTTGCGCTCTCTCACAATGAACGACTCTCGTATCTGGTTTCCCTTCTGATACCCCACATTTAGACTTGCATACATACCCGTCTGCTTCACCCGCAAAAAACCCCCAAAAGGCCAAGGCCCCCCAGTCACTCTGCTATCTGCTTGGTCCATGCGCACAGCCTTGTACTGCCAACCTCCTGTTCCCTGCGCCTATTAGCATTGAGCCAGAATGGCGTCAACTGATGCCGCCGCTCCCATTGATGCTTTTACTTCCCTCATCAATACTACCACTTTACTCGACTTGGCTCGTCGCTTCTCGGCAACCTACAGCCACCTTGCCAGGACCTCAACAGAGCATTTCCTTGCTACTCCCGTCACTGCTCTGCCTACTGGAAAGGAAAAGGGAAAATTCCTGAGCATTGATGTTGGCGGCACTAATCTAAGAGTTGGATTCGTCGAGCTGATTGGAGAGCCAGATGCCTCTACGGGGAGCGAGCGCAGCCGGAGTAGTACCATCGGGGACAATGTATTTGCTCAAATCAACCGAAGTCATGATAAAAACTGGCCAATTGGAGATCACCTGAAAATGGACCAAGCCGAAGACCTCTTTGCCTGGATAGGTGACTGTATCGCCGAGGTAGTAAAGGGCGCTCTTGACGAACAGCAGAGCAGTGGCAGTCAAGTCAGCTCGCCCCTAGGCGATGAGATTCTGCTTGGTATCACCTTTAGCTTTCCGATGGCGTAAGTCGAGTCGACCGTATACTATCGCGGTGCTGTGCTAACATCCTTGTTAGCCAGACTCGTCTATCAGAGGCAACTCTGCTGCCAATGGGCAAGGGCTTCGCTATTACATCCGACTTGAACTTGGGCAAGATGCTTCTTGCGGGATACGCCCGACACTGCGACGGCTCCCTGCAAAACAAGCCACCATTACCAAGGATACGTGTTGCAGCTATCACCAACGACACAGTAGCCACGTTTGCGTCACTCGCCTACGCAGTCAAGGCTTCACCAAACAGTCGCGTAGCAATGGGTCTGATTGTCGGCACCGGAACTAACGCAACAGTACCAATGAAGCTGGATCGTCTACACCCTGCAAAGAAGAGTGCCTTGGCCAACCCTGATGCTGTTGAGACTGTAGTCATCAACACTGAATGGACAATCCGCGGCACTGACAAACCCCTGATCGATCTCAACATCAAAACTCCCTGGGACATGACACTTGACGCAAACAGCGACGCACCAGGTTTCCAGCCATTCGAGTACATGACATCAGGGCGCTACCTCGGCGAAATTGTACGCCTGATATTCATCGACGTAGTCTCCAAAGACACAAGCGTGCAAACCCCACCATCCCTCCAAACCAAAAACACCCTCCCCACCAGATTCCTCTCGGAAGTCATTGCGCGAAAAGGCGGCCGCATCGTACAGCAAGAACTAGAAAGCAGATACCCAGACGCAAATCCATCCGACGACCCCTTCTGGACCGTTGACAGGGTAGAAATGATCCGCGACATCGCCGAAGCAGTCCAACAACGCTCCTCCGCTCTCGTCGCCGCCGCATGCGTCGGTCTCCTGAATTGCGTCGGCGAAGTATCTCTCGACGGCGCAAGAGCACCCAGCAACGGCACCCACAATCGTAACAGGGGAAAACGCGACATTGAAGAGTTGGTCATTGCCTATGCCGGTGGTACCATCTCACAGTATCCAAAGTGGCTGCAGACGTGTCAGCAGTGGATCGATATTCTCGTTGAAGAGGGCTCAGCCGCGAATTCGAGCAAGCAGGTCACGCTCAAAGAAGCGAAAGATGGGGGAATTATTGGGGCCGGCGTGTTGGCTGCTATGACGGACGATATGGCGTGAAACATGGGTTTTTTTTGTTGTTGTTGTCTTGAGCTGACATAGAGATGTGTATGCATTTTAACAATAATAGTATTATCATTTATCTATTCATTCACTCGTATTTTGATCTTTTTTTTTCAACTTCCATGGCGGAGATGCGAGGATCAAATGTACTGAACATGGGAGTGTGGAACAAATTATTGAAAAATAGACAATGGAATATTTTGGTGCATAAAGAATTAAATGAAGATTACAAACTACCCTATATATCTCTATCATCTCCACGTGCGAAAAGAAATTTTTCCAGAAGCAAACACACTATTCATCAGACAAACCTCCCACACCCCCTTTCACCTAACAGGCAACTGATTCTGCCACTCAGGATCCACCTTACTCTGCTTGAAAAAGCTCTTACCCCTCAACCACTGTCGATACGCCTTATACCGCTTCTTGCCCGTATCCTCATCCTCGACATCCAGCGGATTCTCCCTAACCCGCAAAAACTCCTCAAACTCTTCTATATCTTCTTCAGGAGTCTGAAACTTGCTTCCGGACACCAGTGGATAATGATGATGGTGGTGCTGGTTATGCAAAGGTGTGGGTGGAACATCGTTGTAGACATGGGGATGGTGATTATACGATTGGGGGTAGGAATACGAAGGAGCGTGGGAAAAGGGGGTACTGACGGATTGAGACGTCATAGGCCGGGCATGGTGCGAAGTGAAGGAGCGGACCGATGCGGCATCGGTGTCCAGGCGGGCTTGCTCTGACAGTGTGATCTGGATGCCGTCTTCGTCAAAGTCCTTGGGCGGCGTGGCGCTGGATTCGGTGACGGAGAGGTAATCGTAGTATTCCATTGCGATGGGGTCGTCCGCGGTGGGGATCTCGCTGCTGACAACTAGTGGGAGGTTGAGTGGGTGTTCAATGTAGCGCGAGTATTCATCTTCTTCACTTGGTGCGACCGATGGGTTCATGCTGTTTTCGTAGAATTGGCGCAGGGTCCATTGGTGGACTAGGGCTTTATCGGCTGGCTTGAAGCCGGGCTTGAGAGTCGACGACAGGCCTGTGGATGTGGAAGTTGAGTTGTTCATGGATTGGTAGGCTGACGATGTCGAACCAGACATGTGTGTCTCAAAGTGAGGGTCTCGAAGAATAGATTGTCGTGCTCGTTGATCTGAATGGGGTACATTATGATGTAAGTTCCTCCCACGGGGCGCAGGGAAGCGATCGGGTCTGGATTCAGTCTCGCTTGACGGGTCAATGATAGTGACCCCCTTCCGGGGCATCTTCTTTTCGTCTCTTCCTCCTGCATCAAGCTCTTGCTGCTTCTTTCGAGGAACAAATGGAGACATATTTTCCTTTCGAGACGGATACGTCCCATCGCGTCCGGGCCGTGGCTTAGCTAGTCGAAAAGCAAATATCTTGAGGTAAGAAGATATGGCTAATGGCCGGTAGTATTCGAGCCAATAGTCGTCGCGGAAGCTGATAAAGTCAAAAGCAGTCTCTTCCATCGGCCGTGCTGGCATGATTGAGGGCGGCAGTGCACGCTGTTGAAGATGAGAAAGAGTATACCAATTGATGTAATCTCGCCGGCTTCGGTCTAGCACAGTTTGCGGGCTTTGGTGATGAAGGTAGTAATCAGTCGAAAGATCCCAAAGCATTGGCTGACCATGCGAATACGTGTAGTATCCGAGGAACAAGTTGTAAGCTTCTTGTCGCTGCGAGTCTAGAAACGAGTTATGATAGTACCGCTTAAAGCTTTCCACCATGTCGCGCGAGCTGCTTTGCCACTGGTTGATCTTTCGGTACGTAGCCATGGTATTAACGAGATGTGATCCGCCGTATTGAATAGCAATAGTATCTCCGTGGCCATGGAACATTTGCGTAAATAGCTCGACGCAATCGGAATCATACTCTACAGTGTTTCCGGAAATAACGCCCAGCGCCTGTAGCTGACGGCCCAGGGCTCGCTTTCCAATGACGAACTGTGCTGCATTTGTTCGATCCAAACAGTCAATACAGTTAGTTCGAGCGACACCATTCTGCACCTGTGGTTCATCAAACTCATTGTCTCCATTCCGGAAGAATCCTGTTTTCCGCATCACCTTCTCAGCAAGGTTCTCTAGGGTGCCTATGACATCCTGTCCTCTCGTTTTCGCTGCTCTGGACATGTCGAATGCCTCATACAAAATCTTCTTATCCTTGGGTAGAGACTGGTTCAGATAGTCAACAGCGTGCTTGTATTCATGAAGCAACTTGGACTCTCTCGGCGTTCGTTCTCGAGCCTTGATCAGATTGAGAACATAGATAGGAGCTCCATATCGTTCGAAAAGGTTGTCGAAATGCAATGCTGCAGCGCTATAGAAGGGATCCACAAGATTTAGATCAATGTCAGGCTTGGGCGTGACACCAGTATTGTCTTGGGTCCAATATAGTGGTATGCTACCTCGATGTTGAACATAGGATGTG